ATTAATTTTCTAGTTTTACTTATTTAAAAAATCCTATGGCAGATTGACAGATGATCTAACCTATTCTCTACACTACTGCCACAAGATGGCTTGAATGTTTTGGTCAATCTATTATGTAGTGTTGACTTTGGGACTTAATTAGTTGAATAAATAAACTGAAATGTTAAATGCCGTTTCAATTTTACAAATGTCGTTTTGACATCGAACATGATTTTGACGTATTTTTATTTTGATTTTGGCAAAATTTGAAACACGAAAACTGTAGTCCTTTTGGTTAGCTTTCTAATCCAACTTAAATTCGCTAGATTGGATGCCGTGTGACAAATTTATCCATGAATGAGTCACATTTTGAATTTTAGATACCTCAATACATCAAAGTTGTGGGGAGTATCATTGATTCATGTATATCTTTTTCGTCCGACATCCAATTTTGGTAATTCAAGTTGGATTAGAAAACTAACTCAGAATACTACAAATTCTATTTTTCGGGTTTTGTAAAATTTGGAATTAAAAATGATCAAAATCACATTTGAAGTCGTAACGGTATTATTAAAGTTAGAACAACATTTATCACATCCCATAAATAAACCTCTCTGTATATTCGTCAAGCTCATAAATTTTGAATAATTAATTTTCAAGAATTTAATTTGAATACTAGTTATTTGTAAAAACAAACGAGTTAAGAAAAAAAAAGTCAAAAGTATCAAGAAAAAAAAAAGAGTTAAAGTAAAATACGGTCGCAATAATTTAGAAGGATTGATCGATATTGTATTTTCGAACTTGGGTATTTTTTTTGTTTCGACCAAGAAAGAAATCGACAATTTTACTAGGATTATCGATCCGTTTTCATGTTTATGAATGAAACTTATAAACATGTTTTAAAGCTTCAAAATTTAAAAAAAATAAGTGCTATCTATTAAACAAAATGTTGTTTTTCATGCATAAAAGGTAGATGTTAGAATTATATTTGTAAATTATGTATGTTATTTGTACGAACGACAATCTTCCATTTTTGTGGGAATAAGCTCGTGTTAATGAAACGACTTTGTTTTAATGGAATTATAGGGCCGTGTTCCGATGAAATTAAAGATCCGAGTTCGGATAAAATGATAAAATGATTTGTTGTTTCAAACATCTCTATATAAAATCCACAGATATCACCCGAAATACATGGCGAATTCGAATCCAATTCATGTACAGTCGTATAAAAGTGTTCTCTGAAACTATTTACTTAATTCAGACATTTCCATGAGAATGCAACTTTGGACGTCTTAAAAAATGTTTATCTGAATTTTAGTAAAATATTTATTTATTGTAATAATCAAATTGATTATTTCACTAAGGCTACAATTTTTTTTTAAACCTTAAAAGGACAAATTTATTTTGGTGAAAAGAGTGGAAAACTTTGAGAAATGAGAAATTAATGGTTCATGTTAGAAAAAACTGTCACCATATATAATTAGCTTTTGGTACTTCTTATTAATATAACACACCCTATAAGTAGGTATTAAAGTAAACACCATAAACACCTTATTAATTTAGAATATGAAAACTAAATATATATTATTCTTGATGAAAATTGGAACGAATTCTCAAATTATTTATGTTGTTTTCACATATAATTAATTCTTAATAAGTTATAAAAATATATAATAATTCTAATAAAATAATTATATATTTAAAAAAATCAAAAAGTTTAAATACATTAATGAATTATATCATATAAAAATTGAATAAAAAAGCTACCAAACCTATTAAATTTCTATTTTTCATATTGTAACTGAATAAATGTGTTCGACTTAATTTAAGAAAATAATATGAAATTTAAACGAATAAATTAATTTTGCATAATATTGTCCCTTGTATTGCAGAAAATATGCACAAAATTCCCTCTGTTATGACAAAAAATGCATGGAAATCACCTCTATAGTTAACGATTTTAACTTTTAACGGAAAAAATGATTTCATGCAAAGTAAAATAAAATATAAGGGGGTTTTACGCAAATAAAAAAAAAACATGGGGGTTTTTATGCTGTTTAGTATTTACCCTAAGTATATGTATAACAGAATTAATTTAAAATATAGCCTGGAAAATGAAAAGTAAAAATAGAAAACGACAAGAAGGAAAAAGGAGAAACAGTGAGTCGACTCAGTGTAAACGCATCCATTCCCCATTCCATTGTTACGCTACTAATTTATGTCAGCTCCAGGACAAAATTCACGTCCTTTTACCACTGTACTCCATCTTGGCCGTCCACGTGTTCTCGACAATCCCCGGCCGTCCACTTTTCTCTCACCACATCGCCGCTCTAGTAGACCGGCACACACTGTATCAATATCCTTTGGGGCTAACTTAAACATGATGCAAAAAACAGTTCACATTAACTTCAGCTCCGAGTCCAATCTGAACCGTTGGTTTGTTCCACTGATCCTAGGGTGAACTCTCGGTCGATTTTGAGGCATAAATGAACAATGTACGGGTCGAAACGATTTCCAAAAATCACGAAGGTCGATTTTCGTCTCGATTCGATCGATCGATTCTGATTTCGGTTTCTAGAAGCGATTTCAATTTTATTCATTTCAACTTTGGGTTTCATCATATATAAATAGGGTAAATTACAACCACCCCTAAGGTATGGTCAAATTACGAAACCCCCTTTTGTTTGGGTAATTACAACCACCCCTCAACTATAAAACTTCTTACACGTCCATCCGTGCGACTTCAAATTTAGTGGAATCTTCGAGATTATATGGAATATTATCACTTTTGTACCCAGTTTATCTCATTCGAACTCCACATTTTAAAGCAAGATGACCATAATATGTGTTTTTTGGCTTGTATATATCAGACTGTAGTACATCAGAAACTGTTTTTACACAAAACGGGTACAAACTAGAGCACATTCCACGAAATCTAGATAATTATGTTGAATTTGACACCATAAGGGTAGAAGTGTAAGAAAAAAACATAGTTGAGGGGTAGATGTAATTATCCAAACAAGAGAGGTTGTTTCGTAAATTGACCATACCTCAGGGAGGTGGTTGTAATTTACCCTATATAAATATGTCAGGTGAACATAGATGGAGCAAGTTTTGTAGAATTTATTACTCAAAAAAAAAAAAAAGTTTTGTAGAATTTACACCTGGTGAAATACACTACGTAATTTTATATCATAGATTTACACATTAATTAATACACACATCTTTGTGTGCGTGCACTTAATAAGTAATTTTTTATGTAAATGTACGTCGTACGATTTAAAACCACATAGCGTATTTTTACCAGGTGTCCGATCTCATAAGCTACTTCTACTCGACCCAACCATATTATTCTTGCTCCGTATATTTGAAGCGGAAACGAGGCTAGGCGAAGTTTGATAATAACTTCATAATTTTATAAATGATCGAATTGATCTATTTAAAAATGAAGATCAAATTGATTGGACGCTTTTAATTGGACAATCATACCAAATTAATAAATACAATCATATTTTTGAATATATTTAAAATAATAATAATAATATAATACAATGAACCATCATACTTGTATAATAAATTTCAAAGTTCAAATTACTCATCATATATATAATAAATATCAATTTTTTCCTAAAGAAATTTACTATTAAACAAAATTTAATAGATTTATTCATATGATGTTTTGATTGAAACCCAAATTATAATTGATTTAAAACATATATGAAATAAATGTAGGGTGTAAATGAATCGTTTGTTTAATTTAAATTAAAATGAAAAATATCAATCAGCTTAAAATCATTTCATCTAACAATATCACATTCACATCAATAACATAAGGGTAAATTACAGTCACTTTCCCAAGATAAAGTTAAATTACGAAAAAAACTCCTTATGTTTGGGTAATTACAATCACTCCATCAACTATAAATCTTCTTACACGTCCATCCTTGCGGTGTCAAATTTAGTGGAATCTTTTAGATTATGTAAAATATTTTTCATTTTGTACCCATTTTACCCCATTCGAGCTCCATATTTTGAAATAAGACGTGTCTCTTGGCTTGTAAATATCAAATTGTTGTGCATCAGAAACTGCAATTTTACACAAAATGAGTACAAACTGCTGAACATTCTACGGAATTTAGAAGATTAAGTTGAGTTGAACAGCATAAGGATGTACGTGTAAGAAAATTTATAGTTGATGGTGTGTTCGTAATTTGACCATACCTGAGGGGTCGTCGTAATTTACCCATAACATAAACACAATTTTAATTTTTAAAATTAAATAGAAAAGAAGAAACTGGAGTTGAGGTGGCAATTGGCAAAGGCATGTTTGGGTCGAGGTACAAACAGCCCAATTGTTCCCTTCTGGCAAAAGCCATCTAATCTGCTTGCAGCACTCTGCCCAAACCCCAGCCGTCCGATTCAACTCGCTCCCACAGCCACTCATATGGATGCGCACACAGACAATTACTTCAGTGGGACCCACATTTCGGAGCTATTAAAAAAGTAGCTCACACACCATTGTTGCTGCCAGTTTGCCCCCACTTTTTCGTCTCTCTCATCAGTCTTCTCACTTTCTCCATTTGGTAAAAATAAAATATAAAAAAAAAATTCATTTGCCCCCTTTCTCTCTCTACTCTCTCTCTCTACACTCTCTCTCTATACTTTCTCTCTCTACACTCTCTCTCTCTCTCTCCTTCGCGCACTGGGACTGGGTAAGCTGCTGCTGCTGGTGGCTGCTGCTACTGCTTCTCTCTCGTCTCTTTTTTCCTTATGAAGTAATTTTTTTAATTTACTTTCCTTTTTTCAATTTCACTATTTTTTTTTTCATGATTGTGTAATTGCTTTGTTTAATCAAATATGCAGACTGATTTAAACTATAACTGCTCTCTGCTCCTGGAAATGATTATTTATTGTAGACGAAGTGATTAATGAAGCATTGGAGTAAGCGAAGTTCCTTTTTTGTAGCTGCTATTTTTGGAGAAACAGAAGATTAATTTTTTTTTTCGTCTCCATGGAATTATTGGCTGATTTTTTAATTTTTAAATTTTTTTTTTTCCGAAAATGTGATTTAGGAATTGAAAAATCAAAAAAGTAGTATTAGCGTTGGAAATTGGGGGAAAAGAAGATCTCTCTTTATCTCTCTCTCTCTCTCTCTCTCTCCTCTTTCTCTCTCTACTTATTTTCCATTCTTCCTTTCCTGTGCAATTTTTATGGGTTATGGTGATTTCTGAGGTGTTTCCACGTCATTGAGGATGGGCAAAGCGACGTCGTGCAGTGTAGACCTGCGTTTTTTTGGGTTTTTTTTTTTTTTTTTTGGGGGTAAAACATTTTCCCTAGATGGGGGGGACCATAACTGCCTCCATTAACTACCATTATTTTTTTTTAATTTATTTTGTGATTGAAGAGTGAAAAAGCATCTGGAGCTAAAAAAATCATTTTCTTCTTATGGTGGTTTTTAATTCTTCTGGGGTTTAGTTTGGTTGGAAATCACTGAAAGATACAAATATAGGCTTGATTTAATTTCATTATCAATTTTTATAAAACAGATTGAGAAATATTTTTTGATTTCGTGTTTTTTTTTTTTTTTCGGAGTTCTTAGTCAATTGAAGTAGTAGTGTGTATTTGATGTCTTTATTGTAGAAGAGAATTGAGCATGTGAGTGATAGATATATAAAAGAGAAAGATAAAAAGGAGTCTTTATTGTACTTGGAAAGTGTTGGTTATATACTAGTAGCAGTGAACAGTTAAAATCTTTCTGTTATCGATCTGCTGTATTAAAGGCGGCTGAAGATAGAGAGAGAGAGACTATAGTTTCTTTCCACATTCTTTTCTTTTACCAGAAATTAATGTTTTGCTATGAATGACATAGTATGAAAGGCTTTTGTTAGCTGGTTGAGCTGTAATTAAGAGTCTTTCTGTTTATCTGTTGTTGGGATCATTGGGAGAACGATAAATTTTAGAAAAAGAATCTGAATATCTTTGCTACGGAAATATCGACTGAATCAAGCTTTTAAGTTAAAGAATGAGTGGTCATTGCTGTGATTTATCACATCATCGTAAGTGTTCGATTCACTTGTAGCCGTGAATTGGGGATTTAGGGGTTGAGTACTGTGTACTTCTGGTAATGCTAAAAACTTGATTTTTAACCCTTAGAAAAGTATGTGAGTTAACTTTTCACTTTTATGATTTGATAATTTCTTGAATCAGGGAACTGTAGTTTCTATGTTGGGTGATTTCCTCTCGCATAAGCAGCCTAATGTTTTGGATATTTTTTCATTTATTTGATCCTTCTAGAAAACTTGTGCTCGGTACTCTACTTGTTATGTGGGATTGCTTCTTCGATATTTTTTTTCCTTCCAATGCATATTTTGAATGGCTCCGATTTTGCATTTTGCAGTTCTTGTTTCTAGTTTATGATGCATTTGTGGTACAAGGATAATTAACAGAGCCGTTTAAACCCTTCGTATTTTCTGAGATGGATTGGAATGCAAAGTGGGATTGGGAAAACATTGTTGCCTTCGGATCAAAAGCATCCGAAAGTCCCAAGAAGCTGCAATTAGTAGACTGGATGATTGTTGACGATGGAGAAATCGATGCCGGATCTTTCAACCCCTCCATGTGTGGTGGCGGCAACAACAGCGGTGGTGCCGCCTCTGGCTCCGACGGTGGGCATGTTTCTTCCACTAAGAGCTCGATATCAGCTTCTACAGACTCTTCCACAAAGGATGTGATGCAAAGCTCAAACTTCAGGCTCATGAATTTCGAGGGCTTTCCTGAAAATTTTAGCAACAAAATCGAGATGAAAGAAACTGAGGTTTCTGGTACTTATCCAGTTCTCGAGGCTTCTGTTGGATCTGTCGAACCATTAATCGGTCTCAAGCTCGGAAAACGAACATATTTTGAGAATAGCGGTGCTGGAGGCAATGTTAAGAGTGTTTCTTCTTCTTCTTCTGTGGTGCCTAATACATCCACCAGTTTGTTGAAGAAAACTAAGTCACCAGGTCAAAATCTGCCTGCACCACGCTGTGCAGTTGATGGCTGCAATGCTGATCTTTCAACGGCTAAAGATTATCACAGAAAGCATAGAGTTTGTGACGGCCATTCCAAATGCGCAAAGGTTATTGTTGGAGGCCTTGAACGTCGTTTTTGCCAACAGTGTAGCAGGTTATTTTTTCAAAAGAAGAACTATGTTCATAAATTAGATATCTCTGTTTGCCATCTCATATGTATTTCTGACACATGATCTTATTAGCCAACTATATCTTCCAAGATGAACTGCTAATCCCTGCCTGTTTTTCCACAAATGCACACAAACATCAGCAGTTGGAACTATTTTCAAAAAAATTGATGTCTTTTTTTGTTTGAAGGTTCCATAATTTGTCTGAGTTTGACGAGAGGAAGCGCAGTTGCAGAAGAAGACTTTCTGATCATAATGCACGGCGTCGGAAGCCACAGCAGGAGACTATCCAGTTTAATTCGACAAGGCTCTCATCATCATTCTATGGTATTTTAAACAATTTAATACTCTTAGAATATGTTTTGCTACATGCCCGATTACCCAGTATTGGAATATGCATAAAGAAAATGTACACCTTTTCAATCTTTAAGTATCTATCTTATGATGAACTTGTGTGCAGATCTATCTATTTCATTTCGTTCAAATGGGATAGAGTGCATCCAAAATAACGAGGTCCATTTTAGAACCTTTTTTCTCCAAAAAAAACTAATTATACTAGTCTTGCAAAATCAGGTGCTTGACCTTACTGAACCTTAGGGGGATGTTTATGTTTTTTTATGTTGTCTAGCACTATTTCTGTTAGAATACAGTTGGAACGGTTCCACAAGAGAAAAAAAAATCACTATTTATACTGCTAATAATTTGGTCTGCAAAAACTCTTTCATAAAAGCAGTAGTTTACTTTTAGCTTCTTCCTGTAATTGTAAGATCTTCATAGTTCATTTTTGTCCATTTATTTGAAATGCCTCAAAGGCACAACAATCTCGTACCGTAATTCGGAAGAGGTAAAAAACTATTGGAGTTAAAAAAGGCGATCAACAGTGGGTGATTTCTGTTTATGGCCTACAAGAAATCAGATTCTAAGTATGATACACTGATATTGTTTCTATTTCCGAAACAAAAACCCGAAAACCCAAAAACAGTTGGAGTAAGAAAGGCGATCAACGGTGGCTGATTTCTGTTTATGGTCTACTAGAAATCAGAGTCTAAATTTGATACACTGATAGTGTTTCTATTTCCTTTGATAAGGTACAGGGGGAAGGCAGCAGACGGGTTTTCTGTTGAACAATGGTCCACTTATTCAGTCTGGAAATGCTGCTAATACCACATGGGGTAACACGTGTAACTCCAAGTTCACCCTAACAAAAGGTTATCCTTTCATATCCAATGGAAATGGTGTCTCTGAGGAGCAAATGCATATGCCAGGAATCAAACTGCCACATGCCACAAATATGCACGGTAATACATCCAATCAAACTTTTGGGCTAACAAATTATGTTATGTCCAGATAGTGTTTACTGTTACGTGATTGTTCATTTTATCATATTGATTTTATCGCTAAACTCCAGTTGAAAAGTTCCTGTTGAAAATTGTTTGCACTGTTACTTAGAGTCTAGACTGAAGTTACTTAGTATTGACTGCCACTACTATAGATATCTTATTGATTAGGGGTTGATGTGTTGAGTTTTTGTTTTTACTTGAACAAGAAACTTCCGGGGCTATTCCATTTTGACGGATCTAGGTAAAATATATTGATTAAGAGTTGAGACTAAATGTTATCCTAAACACCCGTGTGAAAAGTAAACAACTCGAGATTTGGGAGATACATGCTGTCACAGGTTGGTCTTTGCTGGTCCTTGATTCAAATTGGGATAACCGTGGATAGAAGATTTCGTTATTTCGTGTTGTTAACTGTACATGAATAAGCAAAGTTTATTAAACTGAAAATTTCTATGAAATCGAAACTTAAGTGCTGTCTTAATTGAATTTAACGCTTCCACTATGGCACATTTTTCACTTATTTGCAGTGGAAGTGTTTAAAGGTAATGTGAATCACGAGATTTGGACCAATAATCTTGTTCCTTTTCGACTGTACAGGTTCGAAGGGATCACATATCTCTTCTCACTTAGATGCAGCAATGGAGTACCGCCGTGCTCTCTCTCTTCTGTCAACTAATTCCTGGTCTTCGTGTGGACAAGAATCCATGCCACTCCACAATCATAATAATAATAATAATAATAATAATCCCATGATGCATGAAAACGAGACCTTTGTAACTCAGCCTATGATGCACACAATTCCAGAAGGTATTCCACTCTCTGCTGGTTCGGAATTCTGGCTCAGTACTGCTGGACATCAATCAACTCACCACCATCGCACCAACAGTAACAACTACGACGAAATCCAGCTTTCGGTTACACCGTACGAGCCCGACTTCTATTCTAACATCTTAAACTGACTACTATTCACTATTCGGAAAAATTATGTTCAAGACTTATTAGTTGTGTTTTTTTTTTATTGTTGAACTTTGAAGAAACTATGGTTGCTTAGTGGTAAATGGATAATAAATCTCTGACATTATTCTAGATATTAATTGTTTTTTTCTTTTTTTATCTTGGGGAAATTTGATTGATGCATTTGATATGATTCTTCACTTCATTAATTAGTCTTATCAGTAAAACCATATGCTTGATTGATTGATAATATGCTTATGTCTAAATAAATTATAACTATACATTTTCTACACTGATTATTAAATTATTTTTCTCTATAAATTGAAGGAAAGTAATTTCTTTTTTATATATTTAATTTGCACTTTGCAGTGTTCCATAGACAAGTTTAAAGTTTTATACTGTAAAAATTATATAACTGTATGTTTCTTCTTACTAAACGACTATCTTTAAAGTGAAGATTCAAAGTAAACTAACACTTTAATTTCCTTTTATTAAATGATATTCATTAGTTTTAAGTTATTATATTAAAAATTCCAATTTTTCATACAAAATACATAATAACATTAATATTACAAGTGTAATTTTAGGGAGAAAAAAAAAACTTTGGAACTTTCAAAAGTTATTTTATGAAATAAAAATCGATTTATTAAATCCCCCATGTGAAGAAACAAAGTAAGAAAAACACATAGTCAAAGTAATATATTGAATGGTCCCACTACTACATAGGGATGGGAAAATTGAATTACAATAATAGTGGGCCCAAATATGGAGAGAACAACTGGAAACAAACTAAGGCCTTGTTTGATTGCTCTTAATGACCCTCTTAATCACTAATTTGCTGAATCGGTAAGCAATTGGAATGTTAAGTGCGTTTGATATTAATGACTGAATGGTTCCATGATGCTCTTAACTATTCAGTCCAAAAGTTGGTGCTGACCGAACAAGTGCTACATCTGAATCAAATTTACACATAATTATCCTTTAGAAAACTCATAGGGGATGTTTGGTTATGTTTCCAAAACGAATTTCTAGTTTTCAAAATTTCTGATGGAAAAAGTAGATTATTGGTTTTTGTGTAGAAAATGGGAATATGTTTGGATGAAGGTGTATTTTTAGTTTTATGTAGGTGTAGAAATGAGAATATGTTTGGTTGTGGTGAATTTTCTTTACGAAAGTACGTGCAAAAGTAGAATATAATGATTGATGATGATGATAGTGATGATGATGATGATTATTATTATTATAATAATAATAATAATAATAATAATAATAATAATAATAATAATAATAATAATAATAATAATAATAATAATAATAATAAATAATAATAATAATAATAATAATAATAATAATAATTATTATTATTATTATTATTATTATTATTATTATTATTATTTTATTATTATTATTATTATTGTTGTTGTTGTTGTTGTTTATATTCTTATATTATTATAATTATTATAATTATTATTATTTTATTATTTATTAGTATTATTATTATTATTATTATTAGTATTATTATTATTATTATTATTATTATTATTATTATTATTATTATTATTATTATTATTATTATTATTGTTGTTGTTGTTGTTGTTTATATTCTTATATTATTATAATTATTATTATTTTATTATTTATTAGTACTATTATTACTATTACTATTATTATTATTATTACTACTTCTACGATGAATATTATTTTTAATAACAATAACAATATTATTATTATTATTATTATTATTATTATTATTATTATTATTATTATTATTATTATTATTATTATTATTATTATTATTATTATTGTTTATTATTATTATTATTATTATTATTATTATTATTGTTTATTATTATTCTTATTATTATTATTATTATTATTATTATTATTATTATTTTATTTTTAGTAGTAGATAGAGAAATTGTGAGGAAAGAGAGTGTAGATATTAATGAGGAGAGAGGAGAGAGAATTGAGTTGTTGGAATAAAATATATAGGTTAGTAGTAGGGGTGGGCATTCGGGTCGGGTCGGGTTATTCGGGTTATTCGGGTCGGGTTATTCGGGTTTTTTGCAAAAAAGATATTACCCGAACCCGACCCGAAATAAACCCGGTACCCGGCAACCGGGTACCCGGTTATTTCGGGTCGGGTTCGGGTTTTGCTGTTCTGATTTTTTTTTTTTTTTACATCCAAATCTACATATGAAATCACACTTCATAATTCCCAAATAGTTTCACACTCCACAGGACCACAACAATTAAAAAATACACAACATAAGTTAAAAACAAAGTCAGTTCAAACTTCCAAAAAAAATTACCAAATTTGTTATACATATACAATGAATCACAAAAACATAAAAAAAGACAGTAACCAATTTTACATAATTAATTAATTACGTAATTGATTAACCAATTAAAACCACAAACGGTTTTACATAATTAATTAACTAAACTCAATTTACTCACTAGCAATTAAACACAAAAACCTAAATAGAGTAACAGGTTCAAAACAAATACTCAAATGGGGAAGAACTTATTCGGAAATTCATATGATTAGCAAGATTATGGGCATTCATTTGATAGGTTAGATATCGTTTTTTCTTGCCCTAGAATGGTGAAGAACTAATTGGAAAAAAAAAATAATAAGATTCCAAATTGGGGAAAATCAAAGAGTGAAGAACTCACCAATTCAGAGAAGTGAGGACCGTCGTTCGGCCTTTAATCCACCGGAGAAGAAATTGGAAATTGAAATTTGTGGAGAAGCCGAGAAGGAGAAGATGGGATATTTTTCGTTCAGTGGGGTTCTGCGTTATTTTGTTTGTGTTTTATGTTTTTTTTTCTATTTTTACTTTATTTTCTTATAAAATTATAAATATAAGATTTATTGCAAAAATAAAAATGGGCTTGGAATGGGCTAGTGGGCAGTGGGCTTAGGTGCAACTGTAAATTACAAAGTGGGCCAAATTTGTGAGATTTTTTTTTTTAAGCCGGGTACCCGATCGGGTACCCGGGTGGAATTCCCAATACCCGGACCCGACCCGATATATGAGCACCGGGTACCCGAAACCCGGTAAAACCCGGTTGAGTAAAAAATTACCCGACCGGGTCGGGTCATAACCCGAATAACCCGACCCGAATGCCCACCCCTAGTTAGTAGTAGGTTTTAGTAGGTTTGAAAATTGAAAAAAGTATGAATAGTGTATTTTCAATAGAAATTTGATAAGAAAAAATGGGAATTTCTGGATAAAATTGTGAAACAAACATGATCTCGGTTTTATGAATAGTATAAAAATGGAAAGTGGGTTTGGAAAAGAAACCAAACATCCCCATATATTCCACATTAATCTCAGGTAATATCCCAACACACTATCACTTTTCTGCGCAACTTCCAACTTTTTTTACTCCATAAATAAGTTCTATCCTTTTTTCTTTCATTTATCTTAATAAAGTCTAATTATGTATTAAAATAAAAGGTAATTAAAATATATTTTATTCGTGTCAATTTTAGTGAATTTAGTATATTTTCATATTTTAAGTTAATAAGTTTTACTATTACTACCTTTAGTTGCTTAGAGATTACTTTTTAAATTTGTTTGACTTTTATATTTCATATTTATATTATAATAATGTTAAATACTTGATATTTAAAACACATAGAGATGTTAATGTCTGCCCAAATTTCATAATTTGTTGATTAAGTTAATCATGCTAAAAGAATTATATTTATACATATATCATATATGTTGCTCATTAACAAATACTACAGTATTTGACCAAGGATATAACGGTAAAATGTTATTATTCAGACGGCAGAATTTTAGCTATCAAATGAGCTTAATGATTCAACATTCAGTATCCAGGCATAACTCTTAGTCATTCAGATATGTATTCAGCATTCAGCATTCAGCGCTTAGTATTATCAAACACAGCCTAACAAAGGTCTCACATTAAATAATTTGCATCCACATCCCCCAAACTTTGACCTTTCGGTAAGTAACCCCAAATGTTTTTTAACTTTTCGGCATATATATATTCTTCAATTCATTTTTCCGTTGGGGTCCGTTAATTTTGGGGGTAGAGTAGAAAATTATATATATATGGAAAAAAAGCTACTTTGTGTTATAGAATAATAGAACAATGCGTATAGAAAGACGGATATATTTGTGCTGCGAGAATTCTATAATTGAATGAAAAAGCTGTACATATCTGAAGCTAGAATGCTTCTATTTATACACCAATGCCTCTAAGCATTGTCATACTAATGGCTTGACACGTAGCACAAAATAGCAGGTCATGCTTCATCAATTCTTAGTCTCCAAGGCAAACAAGATGATAAGTCCACGTAGGCTTTGCCTTATCTCTATAATATTCCCCATTGGACGAAACATCATTGTTGTATCGGCTGTAAATTGGATGAGTAAAATGTATGTATGCCTCGTTAAAAACCTCAAGCCGGAAAACTCAGTAGGACAAAACCGGTCGGAAGGTAAAAAGAGTGGATAGCTCAATCCAAGCCGTGTGCATAAGCTGCCTCGTTAAAAACCTTTGCTGGAAAACCCAATGGGACAAAACCAGTCATAAGGGAAAAAGAGTACTGCAGCACACCATTGCTCCCCTGAAATGAGCAATATAGCTTCAAAAATGGGCCGTCAATCTTGCTTCATATTGGCTCTTCTCATTCCAATGGCGTATACCAACTTTTCAAATGTAGAAGTCGGTAAGGACTTTGTAAATAAATCAGCAAGATTGTTGCATGAGCGAACTTGTCGAACATCGATCTCTCCATTCTTCTGAAGCTCATGTGTGTGGAAGAACTTTGGTGATATATGTTTGGTCCTATCACCTTTTATGTATCCGCCCCTTGTTTGCGCTATACAAGCAGCATTGTCTTCGTAAATGACTGTGGGCGAGGCTGTAACTGGATGTAATTGGCAGGAGTTTTGTATATGCGAAATAACCGATCGTAGCCAAACACATTCTCTGCCTGCCTCATAAAGAGCTATTATTTCTGAATGATTTGAGGAGGTGGCCACCAATGTCTGTTTGGTAGATCGCCAAGATATACCTGCACCATTATAACAAAACAAATATCCAGTTTGTGAGCGAGCTTTGTGGGGATCAGATCTATATCCCGCATCGGCATAACCAACTTACCCTTGGTTAGTTGCATTCTTTGAATAAAATAATCCCAAATCTGCAGTACCACGGAGATATCTAAAAATATGTTTAATACCATTCCAGTGTCTTCGGGTAGGCTCAGAACTGTATCGTGCAAGCACATTTACCGCAAAAGCGATATCAGGTCGAGTGCATTGTGCTAGATACATTAGCGCTCCGATAGCATTTAGTTACGGCACTTCTGGGCCAAGTATCTCTTCATTAAATTCCTTAGGTCGGAACGGATCCTTTTCATGATCTAAATTGCGCACAACCATAGGGGTGCTCAATGAATTAGAATTTTCCATATTAAACTTTCTGAGGACTCGTTTAGTATATGCAGATTGGTGTATAAATATGCCGTTATTTTTATGCTCAAGCTCAATACCAAGACAGAGTTTGGTTTTTCCAAGGTCCTTGACCTCAAACTCTTTCTTTAAGTATTCAGCAGCATTGGCCAACTCTTTACGAGTGCCAATGAGGTTCATGTCATCTACATAAACCGCAATAATAGCAAATCCGGTTTCTGATCTTTTAATAAAAACGCATGGGCAAATATGATCATTTTTATAACCTTCCCTGATAAGGTATTCACTCAATCTATGATACCACATGCGACCGGATTGCTTTAGACCATACAATGATCTCTGTAATTTGATTGAGTGCAGCTCACGAGGAGCGCTAGAGTTTGGCATTTTAAATCCATCGGGAATTTTCATATAAATATCAGAATCTAGTGAACCATATAGATAGGCCGTTACAACGTCCATTAGACGCAGGTCCAGTCCCTCTTGGACGACCATATTGATAAGAAAACGGAAAGTGATCGTATCTGTTAGAATTTTATTTCGTGCAGATTAAATTATTTGTGTCCGATTCAGTTTTTCGTTACTGTTGCGTTAAGTGTTGCAACAGTTCGTGAAGCAGTTCGTAAAAACAGAAATAAACGAGACACAAATTTAATGTGGTTCGGATACAATTATATCCTACATCCACGGGGACCTGCAAATAAAATTTACTAATTTTTAGTTTTACGAATACAATAGTAGGACTTAATCAAAATACAAAGACTCCCTCTTTGTTGACGCCGTTCTCGTATACTACGCTGAATTATAAATCTTCAATTTGCAGCACGTCCCTTGCTTCGCACGGTTGAACTCCCTTCAACGCTGAATCCCTCAGTCGGCGGATCGATCTCCTCCCGAGATCTGTTTAAGCCCCTCTCCCGAAGAACCGATCTTCTTTTTATATAGAAGAAGCAAACTTGTGATACTCCTTGAATCTTGGTGTCTTCACCACAAAGCCTTGAAGCCGATATATTTTCTATGAAAATCACGTATCACGATGGAACAATAAAAAATGAGAGGAAAAATATTTTCTGTGAAAAAACTTCTCTCGATCAAAAACGTTCCGGAAGAGCAACAAAGAAAAGAGAAATATTTTTCTCTACAAAAAAGCACACACAATCACGTTCTGATGTCTTCCTTTTTATACGTCATTGAATCTTCCTGTACAAGAAATAAAGAAACCCATTAGGTTTAAGTTTTACATACAAAGAAGAGTTTTAATAGGAAAGAAATATTAGCCCACTACTAATGAATACTTAATTCCCATAAAATATAAAATACCAATGAAATAAAATCCATTAGGTTAGGGATTCTTATTCACGTAAGGAAAAGGATTTGTATAACAAAGGAAGGTCTTAGTCATAGAAATTCCTTGTTAACACATCACTTTATGTAATTAAATAAATTAATGACAAAATAAGAGTTTAAAGCATTAAGGAAACTTCCCTAGCTTTAGACACACGTTTTTCACACACGTGATGAAAAACCGAAATTAGAATCCTCTCGGATTCTAACAATCTCCCCCTTTGTCATCTATTTATTATAATCAAGTCCTCCCCTTAATCAAATACCTGAGAAAATAAAACAATCAGATGATAGACGGAAGCAATAAAACCAAGATCATTATCAACTCTTTCAACAACAAGAGTGGCATCAACTGCTGCAATAGTAAGTGCCACAGTTTCAGCAACTGTTCCCACAGTAGTGGCTTCGGCAGGTGGTTCGCAACAAGGTCAGCTCCCCCTGCATGTGTATATCCCCCTGTGAATGATCTTTATGCAACTCTTCTTGCAAATGCATTCATTCTTCTCCTTTGCTTACTTGGCTTGGTAGACTTGGAGGGCGACGTGGTAAATCACCCACGTGATAAAAGACTCAGCGAATAACTTCGGCATTAGCTCCTCCTTTTATATTCTTGTGAAGACCTAAACCAATTAATGACAATGAACACAATATTAAAAGAAGTGAAATTCCTTCTATTTTGGATACACACGTTAAGCTGTTAATATGGAGAGATAAATTATTTTTTCTCAAATTATCTAATGAGATAACTAAGGAAAATATGTTCCTCATATTAATACAAATCTCCATAGAATTCCACTTCGTGTTGTGGACTTAGAATCCCACCGAGATTCTAACACTCTCCCCCTTTGGCATTGATTGGTCAGAACATTTACTCCCCCTAAATATATGATACATGCATGAACAAGAGTCAGCAAATTCAAAATAACATCTGCACATATAAACTGTTGCAACAGTTTATCAAACAGTTCAGCCGATAGTGTAGACTGTAAATAAACCACAGTTCCAAAATTAAATAAGATAATTCATTCACATAAGCACGAGATAAAATGATATGCGGTAGCAGGAACAACTTCTCTTCACAATGCTCATTATTTATCCTGTATTTCTGCACTATTCCAGCAACTGTCTGATGCACTGTCTCAACAGTTGTCTGAACTCCCCCTGCATTCCTGCACTGTTCCAGCAACTGTTAGATGCACTGTAACAACAGTTGTCGGAACTCCCCCTGTTTTCATGCCATCGTTACTGTTCTTTTCTCCCCCTTTCTGGGCAATCACCATGCATAGATAAATCAACATGGACTAATGATCTTGATGTGTCGAGCAATCTGTTCAAACACTTAACAAAAAAATCACACGAAGAGAGAATCTTGAAAGTAAGTGAGAAGAATCACCAAACATAACGTGCACACAAAGTCACAAACTTATAACTCAATACCACACGATAATTGCAATGCGAAAATCAAAGGATAATGATATCAAATCCAACATTAAATAACAAAGACTACAGACTTTGCCAAACTTCATACGAAACGTGGAAATGTGAGTAGTAGGCCCAATAGATCCGGTTGCAACAAAAATCAAATTTAACCGGCACATAAACTAAAATCACGTCTCTCTCTTTTTTTTTTTTTTTTTTTTAAATAATGCCTAATGCAAGACAAGAAGTAAACATGGGAAATAAACATGAGTGAAGAGACATATGTGAATAGGATACTGCATGGACAAACAAAACATATGGGATTTATCTTCATATTCACGATAAACGCAATCCCCAAAAATCCAACTGCCAATGCAACCAATAAACTTAATAATCTCAAGTCAAACACAAAGATGCTCTTATTAGGTAGCGTACACACACGTCTAATTGTAGCTTTTTCCCATGAAAAAACAGAGCAATTTAAAGGAACCAGATTATGGTGGTCGTGCAATGTGTAGTCCCCTGGGCTTTCTAATTGAGCCTTGTAGTGAGTGTTCGGTCAAGTGGTTTACTGGCTCGATTCAACTAGGCTTCGAACTATTCACTGACCATATGTATAATTTATATTGGCCGTGCAATGTGTAGTCCCCTGGGCTTTCTAATTGAGCCGTGTAGCGAGCTTTCGGCCACGTGATTTACTGACTCGACTCAAAAAGGCTTCGAACTATTCACTGACCAAATGGTTGTAGATATATATATATTTGTAACAGTAGTTCAAGAGTAGCTTTCACTCATTAAAAGATGCAGCTTTCCCTATATAAACATCCAACCATGACAAGACTATTCAGAGAAATAAATAAGTTGGAGCCTTTTAAGTAATCATTTTGGGAATTGGTGAAGTTCTACCCCCACAAAGTTTAGAAGAACACGAAGTATCAGATTCACATTTGTCTCAATCATATGCAGTATGCTTAATGCAGGTCCTATATGAGATGCAAAAACATATGAAGTGTCCTACCACTAAATGTTGCAAGTCTGGACATACAGACTGTTGCAACAGTTCATGCAACTGCATCAGATTAAACAACATAAATTCCCAGCGATTTTCGCAAGGAATCAAATCTCTGTGCATCAAGGGTTTTTGCAAAAGCATCAGTTAATTCATTCTCCGTTGCAGCATAATCAATTGAGACAACCCCCTTTTCGACCAAGCCCCCTATGAAACGATGACAAATATATGTAAGCTTAGTTCTCGAATGCTGAATAGGATTCATCGAATTATTTTTCGCACTCAAATTATCAAAATTCAGAAGATCAAGTTTCTTATGCCCCAATCCAATTTTGTCAACATAACTGTTGGAACAGTTAGTACTATCATCACACGATTTTAAAGAAGTAATGGCAGATAAACAATTAAGATCAGATTTCTTTACCCAGATTTTTTGTTGAGTTTTATTCACTAAATTAACCTTTATCTTTGGTTTTTGAGACGACACAAAAGTGTGATCAATTTTAGCGGAAAGTGGTGAGCGGGCCATTATTCTTTTAACCATTTTCAAGTACTTAAAACACCTGGGTCGTATATGACCAGGAACATGACAAAAATGACAGGTAGGGACAAAAACTTTTCTTTGAGATGATTGTGTTGATGCAAGTGTCGCAACAGTTTGTGAAACAGTGGATTGTTTAACAAAATTGATTTTTCTTTTCGGATCCTCTTTCTGTTTCAATGCATCATTAGATAGCTGATTACCCCCTATACCTATACGACCAGAGTTCGGCTGATTTTTGGTCAAAATTTCATTCAAAGTTACCCTACCAGTATTAAACTTAGAAATAGCATCTTGGGTTTGAGCAAATTTAACCTTCAACCTATCTGTTTCTCTACTAGTAGAAATAGCATTTTGTTCAAGAGTAGAAATTCTTACCTTCAACACTTTGTTTTCCTCGATTAGGACAAGCTTCTCTTTTTCTAAGAATTTATTCGACTCGCATACCTGAAGCAATTTTTCGTACATCCTTTCGTAGCACTTCGTTAATTCTTCCAAGGTTGTCTCCTCATCATCACTAATGTTTTCTGAATCCCCATCATCATCTGCAAGAATAAAGGGAGTTAAACCGTTGTCGTCTATTGAAGGCAAATTATCATACCTGAGTTCTGTTTGAACTGTCTGTCCAACTACTGCAACAGTTTCAGCAGCAGTCTCTTTGCACTTGCTTATCAGAGTAGTTCCTTCGTAGGTCTCTTGTAGAACATCCCATGCCTCCTTTGCTGATTTGCACATTGATATCAATTTGAATTGTTCGTCATCGATACAACTCAAGATAGCATTGGTTGCCTTGGAATTATAATCTGCTATTCGTACTTCTTCATCACTCCACTTTTCTTTTGGCGTTTGAATGATCTCATATGACTCATTCATTGAGGTAGGAGGTGTCCAACCAAATAGAATCGCGCGCCAGGCCCATTCATCAATAGATTTGATGAACATCTTCATCCTTATTTTCCAATCAGAGTAGTTCAATTCACCCAAGAGGGGTTGTAGAAATGTGCCTTCACGATGATTATTCATATCTGCACAAAAAAAATCAAAAAAATTAAATCCCAAAATCTCACTAAGTATATCTAGTGACAGGCTCTTGATGTCAATTGTTAGAATTTTATTTCGTGCAGATTAAATTATTCGTGTCCGATTCTGTTTTTCGTTACTGTTGCGTTAAGTGTTGCAACAGTTCGTGAAGCAGTTCGTAAAAACAGAAATAAAGGAGACACAAATTTAATGTGGTTCGGATACAATTGTACCCTACATCCACGGGGACCTGCAAATAAAATTTACTAATTTTTAGTTTTACGAATACAATAGTAGGACTTAATCAAAATACAAAGACTCCCTCTTTGTTGACGCCGTTCTCGTATACTACGCTGAATTATAAATCTTCAATTTGCAGCACGTCCCTTGCTTCGCACGGTTGAACTCCCTTCAACGCTGAATCCCTCAGTCGGCGGATCGATCTCCTCCCGAGATCTGTTTAAGCCCCTCTCCCGAAGAACCGATCTTCTTTTTATATAGAAGAAGCAAACTTGTGATACTCCTTGAATCTTGGTGTCTTCACCACAAAGCCTTGAAGCCGATATATTTTCTATGAAAATCACGTATCACGATGGAACAATAAAAAACGAGAGGAAAAATATTTTCTGTGAAAAACTTCTCTCGATCAAAGACGTTCCGGAAGAGCAACAAAGAAAAGAGAAATATTTGTCTCTACAAAAAAGCACACACAATCACGTTCTGATGTCTTCCTTTTTATACGTCATTGAATCTTCCTGTACAAGAAATAAAGAAACCCATTAGGTTTAAGTTTTACGTACAAAGAAGAGTTTTAATAGGAAAGAAATATTAGCCCACTACTAATGAATACTTAATTCCCATAAAATATAAAATACCAATGAAATAAAATCCATTAGGTTAGGGATTCTTATTCACGTAAGGAAAAGGATTTGTATAACAAAGGAAGGTCTTAGTCATAGAAATTCCTTGTTAACACATCACTTTATGTAATTAAATAAATTAATGACAAAATAAGAGTTTAAAGCATTAAGGAAACTTCCCTAGCTTTAGACACACGTTTTTCACACACGTGCTGAAAAACCGAAATTAGAATCCTCTCGGATTCTAACAGTATCCATCACTGGTGAATACGTCTCATCATAATCAATCCCAGGTCGCTGGGAGAAGCCTTGAGCAACAAGGCGGGCTTTATATCTTACAATTTCATTGTTCTCGTTCCTTTTACGGACAAATACCCATTTATACCGAACGGGCTTTACATTATCCGGAGTTTGAACGATTTGCCCGAATACTTTCCGTTTTTCTAGGGAAACCAATTCAGATTTTATTGCTTCCTCCCATTTAGGCTAATCATTTCTTTGGCGGCATTCCATTATGGAACGCGGTTCACTATCATAATCATCGTACATAATTTCTTATGCAACCGAGAATGCAAAAATATTATCGATGATTATCTCATTTCTATCCCATATTTCATTGCAATAACTTATGGGATTCTCGGTATTCCCGGGATTTGATATCGCTTTTTCGATATCAGGCTCAACAGATTCATCTGGAGCATTCTCACTAGGAATCGCCTCATTTGAGGATTCATTGATTTTCCCCTTTCTTTTTCTAGGAACAACGTCCTTTGATCCAATAGGTCTACCCCGTTTTTGTCGTGGGGGATCATCATTCATTTTCGCATGTTCTTCAAGAACAGCGATCCTAGCTGGCACATTCACAGCTGGAATATAAGACTTCGTAACTTTACTGGCATCATTAAATGCATCAGGAAGTCTATTGGCAATATTTTGTAAATGAATGATTCTATGGATCTCATTTTCACATTCAGAGGTACGTGGGTCGAGATGAGATAAATGTTGCTCACACCATGTGAGATTCTCGATTGGTTTTTGTTTATCATTATCACGGATATTCTGAATATCCTTACCAATCGGTATAAATAATGTCTCATCAAAATGACAATCCGCAAATCTAGCGGTAAATAAATCACCCGTCATTGGTTCCAAGAACCTAATAATCGACGGTGAATCAAACCCAACGTATATGCCAAGTCGGCGTTGGGGACCCATTTTAGTCCTCTGAGAAGGAGGAATTGGCACTTGCACAGCGCAACCAAATGTGCGAAGGTGCGAAATATCGGGCTCAAAGCCTAATGCCAATTGCATTGGGGAATGCATATGATAAGCAATGGGGCGTAATTTAATCAGGCGTAATTTAATCAGTGATGATGCATGCAATACTGCATGGCCCCATGCTGCACTAGTGAGTTTAGATCTTATCAGCAAAGTACGAGCAATTATTTGGACGCGTTTAATCAAAGATTCCGCCAGTCCATTTTGAGTGTGAATGTATGCTACTGGGTGCTCGACATTTATTCCCAGTGATGCACAATACTCATCAAAAGTTTTTGATGTAAATTCTCCGGCATTATCCATCCTTATATTTTTGATGGGATAATCAGGGAAATGTGCTCGGAGTTTAATAATTTGTGCTAGCAAACGCGCAAATGCAACATTTCGCGTAGATAATAAGCATACGTGGGACCATCTACAAGATGCGTCCACCAAAACCATAAAATATCTAAATGGCCCACTTGCAGGGTGTATTGGTCCACAAATATCACCATGAATACGTTGTAAAAACGATGGTGATTCATAACCGACCTTTTCAATGGAAGGTTTTATAATGAGCTTTCCTTGTGAACATGATTCACAGAAATATTCATTGGACATCAAGATTTTTGTATCTTTTAATGGATGTCCTTTAGTATGTTGTGCAATCCTACGCATCATAGTCGTTCCTGAGTGACCCAGTCGATCATGCCATAACCCGTGTATATCGGGATTAACAAGTTTCCATGGCATAGTGGCGTAGGATTCGAAAGCTCGAATTTGGACACAATACAGTCCAGAAGCTGTCGCTTCGAACTTCTCATGAACAATTCTTTTGTCCATGACATATGATGTGACGCATAGACACTCCACATTATTTTCAACCAGTGTCTCTAAATGATACCCATTGCGTCTCACATCTTTAAAACTCAGTAGATTCTTATTTGATCTACCGGATATCAATGCATTTTCAATATGCAAAGTGGTACCATTAGGCAACACAATTGTTGCGTTCCCGGAGCCATCAATTATTTCCGCGGAACCTGCAATGGTTTTAACTTGTGCCTTGCACAAAGTCACACTCGAGAAATATATTTTATTATTGAATATTGAGTGTGTAGTTGCACTATCGAGTAGGCAATAATCATATTTGTCCATATTTTTCATGTACGTGTATCAAAATCAGCTCGACCTCGGGTATTTATCCTCCAAGGGAGATATGTACATGTGGGTTTATTCAAAACAACTCAATCTTGGGAATCACACCTTCCAAGAGAGATTTATATACAGTGGGTACAAAATAACCCAAAACCCTTTAAATTTGGACTTGTGATCAATAGCCTCTAAGTTGGCTCTTGACGGTTTTACCTCGTCTAATGACTCTACGAGCTTCAGGCTCGGAGTTGTTTTAAGATATTTGGCCTTTAAATCGGCTTTGACGGATATTATCACGTCTTGACTCAACGAGCTTCAGGCTCGGAGATATATTCAGATATATGGCCTTTTAAATCGGCTTTTGACGGATATTATCACATCTTAGCTCAGATATTCAGATATTTGGCCTTTAAATCGGCTTTGACGGATATTATCACTTCTTGACTCAACGAGCTTCAGGCTCGGAGATATATTTATGATTTAGCCTCTAAATCGGCTTTCTAGTCTCAACGAGTTTAGACTCGGAGATATTAAAGATTTATCCTCTAAATCGGCTTTCTTGTCTCAACGAGCTTAAACTCGGAGCTATATTTCATTTATTTGACGGGAATTCCAACGTCTCAACGAGTTTTTCACTCGGAGTTATAGTATGACCTCTATACGGTCTCTGTTAAGCTCTACGAGTACTATGCCGGAGTTGATAGCCTCTAAATCGGCTTTAAACGGAGATTATTGTTTCCCCAACTCCACGAGCTTTGTGCTCGGAGTTAATTTCATAGTCTCTAAATCGACCTTCAACTGAGATTATTATTTTTCCAACTCCACGAGCATCAGGCTCGGAGTTTATATCTTGGCCTCTAAATCGGCCCACAGATCTGTTAAAACTAGCACGTGCTTATAACACTGCTTGGGATCCACAAGCTTGCAAATATAAATTTCAGCAGCAATTCAACAAATAAATAAGCAATAGATTAATATACACGAATCCATCATATACTTCGAGAAATGATAGCGTATAAAATACCGAAGTATTCGCTAATCATTCTCGTTTGTCTTTTCGACAATATTATCGAGGATCTGGATTTTCGTAAAATAAAATAAAAAGAAGAATACGAAAATAGCAAATCCTTATCGAGCAAATCTCGTGCTGATAACGTGTTATAGAATAATAGAACAATGCGTATAGAAAGACGGATATATGTGTGCTGCGAGAATTCTATATTGAATGAAAAAGCTGTACATATCTGAAGCTAGAATGCTTCTATTTATACACCAATGCCTCTAAGCATTGTCATACTAATGGCTTGACACGTAGCACAAAATAGCAGGTCATGCTTCATCAATTCTTAGTCTCCAAGCAAACAAGATGATAAGTCCACGTAGGCTTTGCCTTATCTCTATAATACTTTGCAAATTAACATTTACGCTAGAAGGGTTTTTTTTTTTTTTTTTTTTTTTTAAATTAATTTTTCTATCTTACGTCTTCTTCAATTTATTAGGTATCATTTTTCAATGTTTATGAAAATTATATATATGAATCTTAAAAAAATATTAACAGTCTTTTTTTTTTTAATTAATTTTTCTATCTTACGTCTTCTTCAATTTATTAGGTATCATTTTTCAATGTTTATGAAAATTATATATATGAATCTTAAAAAAATATTAACAGAGAACGAGGACACACATGGAAAACATCTTATTAATAGTTTTTTTTTTTCATAATCAGTTCATAACTTTTTTTTTTCATAATAAGTTCATAACTACAGGTAGCCTAGTAACATAATTGGTTTTATTTTTTATTTTTTTGGTTATATCACCTAGAGAAGTTCATCATGCCATATATGTAAATGTAGTATTGATTGGTTAAAAAAAATGTAATACTGATTAATTGAATTATAAAATTTGATATGCGTACGTAAAAAAAATAATATACATAACCCAAAGATGAAATTGGATGAAAGATGCATCTTCCAACAAAACAAAATTAAAATAAAAAGATATATATATATATATATATATATATATATATATATATATATATATATATATATATATATATATATATATATATATATATATATATATATATATATATATATATATATATATATATATATATATATATATAATGCAAATTACTATATTATGTACAACGTTAGGGCAAATGTGTATTTTCCACCAAAAGCTAACGGAGAAAATGGATGGAGGGGCTCTACATGTTAAAAGGTTCAACGTTTGGGGTGTGACCAAAGTTCAAGGGAGGTCGATGCAAATTACCCGACATGTCATATTCGATCTTTCAGACGAAACATGTCGTGTGAACAACAAAAAACAAGACTCAAACTACCAGGAAGGACCTAAAACTCCAAGATGCTCTTCGATTCATAGGTACATATAAACATCGATGATTTGGTACGTACAAGTAGATCTAAGCACCAAGTTATTTCCGACTCGAGAAATCTAACATTTTTTTTCTTTTTTTTTTGTCCCTAAATAAGACGGTATCTCAATCCACATACTCACCTTGAACACAACTGTTTCACTTGAAAATAATCGATTGCAAGAAAGCAACCCGAAAAGCCACAAGACAGACAGACTTTACTCGAAGAGCAAATTGAATTCAAACTAATGAAGACCAAAAGAGTATTATACCTCCAAATGATGTTATATCACACCACTAAAATGTGAGAGATACGACAAATACACAAAATCCTAGATAAATAAACGATAACGAATTCGAAATCTAGCAGAACAATTCGGTTGACACAAACACACACGATGCAAACTTCATTAGGACAAAGACCATAAGATACCATTTAGGTTAAATACAAACAACTTGACGTACGACACAAAACTGAAACAAAGGCAAAGTTTGACTTGACCAACCGCTGCAACAGGAAGACGACAACTGACCGACATTCAGACACCCAAACTGAGGAATTCTGGACCACAACTCTGGACCTTCTCAAACATTCCTAGTACTCACTGGAACATTAGACAACAGCAATCAATAAACGAACTTGAAGCAAAAAAAAATGCACAGGCAAGCACTCCAAGAATCGAAAGAAGAAAGTCAAAATAATACGAGCAATTTTGATAAATACTTGCACAAGATATGGAAATTCTGAGCATTTATTGAGTTCGTTTTTGCTACATAGATACAAAGCACGGAAACAAATGAAATTCAAGGGAAGCCTCGTACAATAAAAAGGTATCGCACAACAGACCTGATCGTTTTCATCAGCTGCTTCGTGTGGGGATTTGTTTGTCTCGGAAGGCTTATCAGCACCACAGTTCTGTCTGTTGCACTTTGTCCTGAAAGGATAGTTTATATTGTTGCATTTCTCACACTTCCAGCTTCCCTCTGGCATGTCTGGTTTTAAACAATATTATTATAAGTATAATACTTACCAGAAAGAAAGATTGAATCTTTATTTTTAAGTGTAAAGGAAAATAACTATTAGGCCTCGTTTGGTTGCCAAAATAAGATTAGCCAAGATAAATTAAATAATCTAATGAAACCCAATTGTATTATTGGACCTTGGAAGATCCAATAAAAAAACATGCCTAAAAAGCAAGATAAGGCATGATCATATAATATTTACGGGTCGACCCGGCAAGTTATTGGGAATACCAAACATCAAACAAAGTCCAACTATTTAGTTAATCATGGCTAATCTCCCCAACCAAACAAGGCCTAAGTGTATAATACTTACTGGAATTCTTGACTGATTTCGCAACCTGCATTATTATTAAAGAAAAATTCAGAGCATATTTTGAAACTGCAGAGTCTGAAATTTCTATTAAAAGGAGCAAAATCAAACCTGGGATCCAGGCTTAGGTGTATTGCACTTCCTCATGTTGCAAACTGTTCTAAACGAAAAATTCATATTGCCACACTTGGGACATGACCAGTCATTATCGCGAGTTCCATCTAAAAAAGCATAAAATAATTGGTTATCCATAGAAAAAACGAAGATTAAAATATACAAGAGAAATCACATACCACCGGATTTCTTCTGAGGTGTATCCTCAGGGAAATATGCGGGCCTTTGACCCTGCACTCAATAACAATCAGGTAGTTAGTCAAGTAAAGTGCCCCATATAAAAGGACTCATTAACTATAAGAAACATATTTTCTATTTTTTGCAAAAGATGAAGCTGGAACCTTTTTTCCAGGAACATAAACTTGTAGTAACTTTTTAAAATAGAAACATACCATAGCAGGGCTCATCGGCAAAGCCAAACCATATCGATCAACGAGAGGTGGCACACGATACATCCCACCTACAAAAACATAACGGGACATTCAATCAACAAAAAAAGAGATTATACATGGAGACATTGTTGTTCAACCGAAAAATCGAATCGTAAACTATTTTGCTAAATTTACAAATTGCAAATCGTAACGAATCATGAATCGCAAGAGTTTGAACTTTTATTGAAAATTGTTATAAATTTAAATATATGTGCATATTTAATGTTATAATCAGTAATAACACTTAATTTTATAGCAATGGTTAAACAGTGAAAAACAGTTGTGAGTTGTAAGAGGAAAATTATATATATAATTGGGTTTGACGTGTAACGAGATATTTTTATATCAAGCCTACTAAATATTTTTGACATTTTTTACCAAGTATTTTTGTAAAAAAATATAGTTTGATTAAAAAAAAGATCTTATTTAATTTATGCTTTATAAATATTTTAATTTATTTGATTTTATTTCAAACGAGATGTTAAATATTATTTGTAACATAAAAAATAATATACATTTTGAATCGTACAAATCGTATAAAATCGCAGCCAAATCGTAAAAAAAGCAACCTAATTATTTCGAATCGAATTTCTCTTAAGATTCAAATATGGAAACAAATCATTCAATCGAATGGGAAAATCGTAAAACTTTGATAACCATGCTTGTAGATGCCATATGAAGAGAAAAAAACATCTGAAGGATGGACATTAACAACTGCGAGCATGCATTTTGAGAAATTAAGCGCTGTTATAGGTAAATTGGACCAAAGAAAATAAAGAGAGAGATCATACCATTTCCCATCATTGATCCATTTGCGTAAGGAGGAGGGGCAGATAAATGCAAAGGCTGATATGGGCTGCCTCCAGAAAGACGACCTCCATAGTTGTAATGATACGATGAGCCCCCAGAAAAAGGCATATCGTATGGAGGCATAGAATTTCTGTTGAACAGAGAAGAGGCATATGGAGATACACCCATATACATTGAGGGTGTACCGGAGCCTACATATGGAGCTGCAGATGGGTATCCCTGAAGTGCTTGCATTGGTCTGTGAGCAGATTTCTGAAATAATATCACAAAATCTAAGATACTCGTGAAAAAACAATTGTACATGAACAAGTACAAAAAAAGAAAAAAAAAAGGAATCTTCCAAAAATAGTCAGACCCTGAATAGCAGATGCTATTATTAATATAACTATAACGAAGGAGGAAATAAGATCGAGTTTTGATGTGATATTTGTTTTCTTGACAAAGATGGAGAAGATATCATATCGGTATTCGTGAAACAATAAAGAGAATATCAAATCAATCTCTTACTAAAATATAACATATCAAGAATGCTGTACCAGGTAACATTAACAATCTTAGATGCAAGAAAAATAATACAACCAGCCTTTTGTTTTGCAAATTCATGACTAAAGTACATTAAATTCTTACAGAGTTGTGATCCGCAGGTCTGGACTGGGTGCAGTTGCGCATATTACAAGTTGTCCTAAACGAGAAATTCACATTGCTACAGCTTGGGCAGGTCCAGTCATCTTCCCTGCGGCCACCTACAAACCAAACAGGGCCAAATAAATACCAGAACCAAGGTACAAATATTAAATAGAAAATAAAGTTAATCTCAGATTTGCGAGTTTCCATAATCTCGTAAAATTTGAAATATCATATTCCAAATCTTGTACCGATTAATACCATATAAAAAGGGAAGGAACTTTTGTATAGTGGAGGGAAATCAATATTCAATAAATGAAAAGATACGATTTCAGAATGGGGAAATCCTATAGGCAAAACTCCATCATGCAGCGCCATAATCCGTTAGAGAAAAATATTGGACCTAAGCTTCCGAATAGTGAAATCTCCATTTTCGTTCTTTTGTACCAACATAAGAATCTAAAATACATATCATGAAATGTAAATGCATGTTTCTGCAGTCACATGGGATCTGGTTGCCCCAGAAAATAGATATATACCACAATATTTAAAAAAATAAATAAAAAAATCTTCAGACGTTCACAAGTTTCATCCTGAAATATTTACAAATAAAGATGACTGATTTTTCATGACGCAAGTACGAGAGCAATTCACATGCATATGTCAGTAGTCAAAACTTTAATCCTCGAAACTCGACATTTCACATGCGTAAAACATGCATCCATAATCCATAATGTCGAAAACTATGCATATTTTCTTAAAATAGATACGTTAATCCACAAATTTCAATACCAACTGTTATCAGGGAGTTCTATCGAAACAAATAGATGCGAAACAGCCATATGAATTTATTGAACACGGAAACGAGAGATGTGCAAGAGACGGATTAATAACTTTTAAAATTAAAATTAAATTCACAAAAAGAAGTGCATTTAGGTCAGAAAAACATAAACATGGTAATTGATGAAAATTATACCATCTGTCCTCGCACGTTTAGCAGCTGAAGAACTTCTGCTGTCTACCTGTAATGCAACAAAACCAATTCAACAAATAGAACCAAAAAAATAAAAAGAAAAAAATTAAAAAAAATATTCAAATTTCAATGCACAGATCTGCGTTTCGACTACATCCGACATATAATTTTAATCCTGAACACTGATTACCGACGTTTCAGAAAGATCAAGGGCGAAAAACACAACATGTAAGAGGCGAAAATTAACAGTATAAAAAAATCCAAACCTAATAAAATCAACGGATAATTTAATAGAAATCAAATTTACCTGAGACATATTGTAGCCCAATTTAGAGGGAAATCAATCGAAATTTGAGAAAATCTTTTGGATAGTTTCGAGGGCTTGATCTCAGGCGAGAGAATTCGAAATTAGGGCACAGAGATGAGAGAGAGAGAGAGAGAGAGAGAGAGAGAGAGAGAGAAAGGGAGAGAGAGTTCGGCGATAGAATTTCGTTAAAATTGTAATAAGAAAATGGGTTTATTGCAATCAGAAACCTATGTTTGATTAAGAAATATTTGTAGGTAATTATGAAAAGAAAACAAAAATAAATTGCAAATATAAAAATAATCAAAATTAATTAAAAAGATTTTAAAAATAATTCGTTGATTTCAGATTTTTTTAAAGTTGATTTATGGGGGAAAAACCGGAAAAAAACTAAAAGAAAAAGAATAAAAAATATTTTCTATTACAATTTTTAATAATTATTTTTTAATAATTTAATAAATAAAAAATTAAAAATTAAAAAATAACATTTATATAAATATAAAAAGTAATGAGTAGTTTGTGGTGTAAATTGATTAGTAGAGGGGGATAAATTTTGAATATGAAAAAAGCTGGACCTACTACCGATATTGAAAATGCGGGTGGATTCACTCTTATTTTAAAAAAAAATCTAGAGGGGTTATCACTAATAGTGTCTATTAATTATATTGATGAGATGTATTTTATTTTTTAATTTTATAGTTTCTCAATAAATCACGCATAATGCACTCTACAAATGAATTTTTAAAGCTAGTAAAAGTAATTTAATATTTTCAATAGTATGTTTTTAGGATGTGAATTGTCTAACTCAATTTTTTTTATTTTTACCAAGGGCCGTTCGGGGCTCTAATAAAAACTCGATTTTTTTTAGATGAGTTAATAAAAAGTCGATTAAAATGTTATGGGTCTATAGGGGTGGGAACGAGCCGAGCTCGGGCTCTTTTGGCCAGCTCGAGCTCATTTAATTTTTTTTATTATTTTTTTTAATTTTTATTTTTTTATTTTTATTATTATTAATTTTTTTTATTAAAATCATTTGATTTTTTTATTAAAAAATATTTATAAGAAAAAAAATATATAAAATAAATAATGAACTCTAGTTATATATATTTTTTTATTTTTTCTATTATTATTATAATATATTATATTATTATGAATTATTTAAATAATATAGATTTGTTTCTATTTAAATACTAGAAATATTTATTATTATAGACTATTTACTATTTAGTTAATAATAATAATAATAAGAATAAGAATAATATATATATATATATATATATAGGCAGCTCGCGAGCTGTCGAACAACTAATTTTGGGCTCGAGCTCGAGCTCATCCGAAGCTCGAGTTCGGGCCTTTGTCGAGCCGGCTCGGTTCGTTTACTACCCCTACAGGTCTATATGTAATATGAGGTGCTATTGGAATTACCGAAATACCCCTAGGGGTCCTTTTATTTGTAGCATGTCAATTATTTCCACCCAGTTTTAAATTGGAATGAAATTCGTGCAGAACGAAATTCACAACTCTCATCTATAAATACATACTTCCCCGCCCGCGTGTGGTCACAAATTTTATTTTTCTTTTTTTTAATTCGAATATCGTAGAAGCGACGGTTATTGATCGGAGTTCCGATTGCCGACTACTCCTTGGCCATTGCGGCCCCAAAGTTGGTAGTTCCTTTCCGCGTAGTATTTTCGGATTGTATTTACTGTGCGCATTTGACATTTTAATTTCTTCCTGCGTTCGTAATTTCTGATTTGTTTCAGGTTACAGTTGCGAAACTCTGTTCTCGCTCTTCAAGTCAATTTCAGGGCGATCTGATTTTCAGTGTAGGTGAAATTATCATTCTCGTTATGTATTTTTTTTTATTGTTTCTGGTCGTAAATCCTCCGCGATTCCTAATTTCTGAATTGTTGTGCTTTCTTCCTAATTTCTGATTTATTTATTTATTTTTGTTTAATTTAGGTTAAAGTTGTGAAACTCCATTTTCGCTCTTCAAGTCAATCTGATTTCCAGTGTGAAGTCAATCTGATTTCCAGTGTGAATTTATTCTTTAATGATGTAATTTTTTTTATATTGTTTCTAATTGTAATATCTTGGGCGATTCCTAATTTCTGAATTCTTTGGATTTCTTAATTTCTGGAATAATTTTTGTTTTAATTTCTTTCAGGTTACAGTAGTTAAACTCCGTTTATGTCTGCTCTTCAAGTAACTCTTCAAAACAGTTCCAGTGAATTCTCGGGTTTCAGTGTACGTGAATTCGTAATTTTACTTTTTTATTGTTTATGATAAATCGGTATCGATTATTTATGATATTCTTGTTTGTATTTATAAAAATAATGGATAAACCCAACCTCAAAATGGAAATTGTAATTCGTATGTGTTTATCATACACTTAATACTTACCATTCTAGAATGTACCTTGAACTTTCATATGAACTTTAGAAAGCTACTCTCAACTGTACGATTAAGTCAATCACTATCATTCACTATGCAGATGGAGAACTTTCATATGAACTTTACCATTCTAGAATGTACCTTGAACTTTCATATGAACTTTAGAAAGCTACTCTCAACTGTACGATTAAGTCAATCACTATCATTCACTATGCAGATGGAGAACTTTCATATGAACTTTAGAAAGCTACTCTCAACTGTACGATTAAGTCAATCACTATCATTCACTATGCAGATGGAGTAGTATTAATAGAAATCTCAATTTATTTGTAAATCAACTAGGAAATGGTTTAGTATTAATAGAAATCTCATTTTATTTGTAAATCAACTAGGAAATGGTTTCTGCACAGTAAAATAATTGTTCGATTAGTTGAACTTGTTATGTACAACTCCCACTTAATAGCACATGTAATTCTATGGCAATTCTATGGCCCAACTCCCACTTAATAGCACATGTAATTCTATGGCCCCTCTCTTAATTTTGAAATAATTATGGGATATGATACTTCATTAATGATACATATACTGAAAATCAAGTCGATACTTCATTAATGATACATATACTGAAAATCAAGTATGAAGTTCTATACTGAAAATCAATGATACATATACTGAAAATCAAGTATTAAGTTCTATACTGAAAATCAACATAGATGGATCTAACTAATAGATAATTGTGTATTCACAGATCCCAAGAACTATCATGTTAACAATTATTCCATTCTTTTCAGTCTCTAAATCTTTGGATTTATGGATTTTATTGTCAAAATTGGCAATTTTTGTCTTCTCGTTTCTTTATTTTTGTGAATCAACCATTTAACTTTTTTCTTGATTTTGTGAATTATTTTGCCTAATGACCAAAATTTATGACCAAAATTTCTGACCAAAATTTATGACCAAAATTTTTAAGCCTTGCTGCAGACAATGTTGAAGAGTTTAAGCCTCGCTGCTGCATCAAACTCTGCAAAACCAGCCCTATAATCAAATATTACCAAAGAATGGCACAAAGGGCATCACTTTTATCCAACAAGCAATTGACAAGGCAACGGGAATGGAATGCGTGACGGCACGACGGGACCATTGTTATCTGAGCCCCGACTGTCGGGGCCTGCAAACATACACCGCAAATCTGCATCATCATTAATCCTTATCAACATCCTCGACTCTAGTCCTCTGTAGATTCGCCAGAAAATACAGAAACGTCTCGTTACAAGGGATGGGCGGCCCATGTTCCAATCCCATTGGAAACGGCCACAAGAACAACGGGACCAACTTCTCCGCTCTGATCGCCCTGTCCAGAGCGGGGCCCACCTGCTCATTGTCTTGCTGCACTGTGCAAACCTCGAGGTCAATACCTATAGGTACCACGAGGCGGTGGGCCCACCCAGGATCAGCTTCAGTTCGTTTGGCAAATTTGATTGCTCAAACCTACCGATTTCCTCTTTCGTCATCCAATAATCCTCCAATCGGAAACTCACCATCGTATTCAAAGCATAAGGTAGATGACATTCTTCATCTGCAATTAATTGCGAACCGTATTTCTCAGAGTCAATAACCTCATCTCCACCGTCGATTCGCTTGATGATGAAGCTAGTTCTCATCTCAATCAGATAGGTCTTCGATCCACGCACCACCGAGTACGACGGATACTTTAAAACTAATTCATCCTCAACATTGAAAGTATAATTATATTCATACCCAACCCTATCTTTAACACCCATAGCCATTATTTAAAATCCTTGCGCAATACAACAGATATACCTAAAACATCAAAATACAAACAATCCGATCAAAAAAAAAATTATACATATATATATAGAACACAGCAAAATCAAATTCAGAGAGCAAACAACATCAAATAAAACCTAAAACATAATAAATAAATAAATAAAATAAAAAACAGCAAATTTAAGAATAAGAATGAACGGATTGTCAACGTACCTCACGAAGAAAAACCCTGGCGTGATTTGTTTTGAAAGAAAAAAAGTGAGCGATTGATCTGTATAAATAAGGGAGGAAACCCTTGCGTGACGGTATCTCTATTAGAGTAAGAGACCTACTCGAATTCCTTCCTTCCTTCTAACTCTTCTCCTTTTTTATCTTTTTTTTTTCTTTTTTTTCCTTTTTTGTGTTTTATTTTTAGGATTAATCACATAAATGTCCATGACAAGGGCACTTAATTAAAAGAAGGACATTCAATTTTTTTATCTTTCAAATAAATCCAGTTCATTCAAACTTATTTGCAAATAAGGAAAATCCTTTTATATATACTAAAATTATCCACAATTCAACTTCAATTTCATGATTTACACCCCAATTTAACCCAATTTCATCAATTAACCAATTTTAACATAATTTCAATTTTGACCCGCCACCACCGGAGAACGTCGGTCAGCCGCTCTTGACCGCCGGTCTCCGGCGTTGACTTTTTTTTTTTTTTTATAATTTTGTTTTTTTTTAATATTTTAATTAATATTATTGTCTTGGCTGTTAAATTACTGTCTCCGCCAGTTATTTAACTGTCGGAAACAATAATTTAACTGTAAATTAATTTTTTTTTCTTCAAAAATATTTTAATTAATATTACTGTCTTGGCTGCTAAATTACTGTCTCCGGCAGTTATTTAACTGTCGGAGACAGTAATTTAACTGTTAATTGACTTTTTTTTTAATATTTTAATTAATATTACTATATTTGTTGCTAAATTACTGTCTCCAGCAGTTATTTAACTGTCGGAGACAGTAATTTGACTGTTAATTGACTTTTTTATTCTTTAAAAAAATATCTTTAATTAATATTATATTACTGTATTCGTTGCTAAATTATGTCTCCAACAGTTATTTAATTGTCGGAGACAGTAATTTAACTGTTAATTGACTTTTTTATTCTTAAAAAAAATATTTCTAATTAATATTATTGTATTCGTTGCTAAATTACTGTCTCCTGCAGTTATTTAACTGTCGGAGACAGTAATTTAACTGTTAATTGACTTTTTTTTTTAATTTTTTTAATTAATATTACTGTTCGGGAAAATAATATTCATAATATTACTATGCCAAACAGTAATGTTACTGTTTGTCTGAGACAGTAATTTAGTAGCTATGACAGTAATATTAATTAAAATATTTTTTTCTAAGAAAAAAAAAATTCAAAAAAAAAAAGTCAACGCCGAAATCTGGCCGGAAAAAAAAAATTCATAAAATAAATTATTTTCTGAAAAAACAATTTTTTTGGGGGTTAATGTGATATATTTGTTTAAATCTGGGGTCAATGTGCAATATTAAAAAAGTTAGAGCATAATGGATGAAATTGATAAGAATTATATTATGGAGGTATTTTAGACTAAGGGCATCTTTGGTTGGGGGTATAACAAGGGATGGGATAGGTTGTACCGATTTGTACAACGTTTGGTTTAGTTGATTTACCATCCTTGATAGTTGGGCCCACAGATTTAATCCCCCAATCGAATTATTATTAGTCAAGCCAAAATTGGCTTGACTAATTATCACACACTCAATCCCATAATGTAACCTATGTGAAATATCGAAAATATCCTTAAAAAATACCACAATTACGAAATTAATAGGTATAAATACTGAATAATCTTCATCTTCCCCTTTCATTCTCTGCCATAATTTTTTTCCAGGTAAAAATCATACCTTTCAATTTCGTTCGAATCTTCAATTATTTTCTTCCTTCTGGTGCTAAAGTCAAATTTCGAAGGTCTTTTATAGATTTCAAGATTACAATTGAATATGGGTTTCATTTTGCTTAACAAGTTGATTTGTCCTACAAATTAGTTTGTTCGCTCAGCTTCGTTAAAGATGGCTGAAAAACAAAGATTGTCCGCCATTCTCAAGATCCCAAGATAACCCAACACTCTTGCTCTCTTGTTTCATTTCTTGTTTTAATTTAATTGTCCCTTTCTTTTTGTTTTAATTTAATGTTGATAGTCTTGTTTAATTTCTGCTTGTTTCATGATTGAACGAAAAGTGAATGCTAAACTATGAAAGTAATGTTTTCTTACATTTCTGTCCGAATTCGGGTTTTTATTATTGAATTCAATTTGAGGATTTTTTTTCTTCTTTTTATTATATTGTGGTAATTTTTGTTGCTTTGCTCAACATGTATTATGAACAGTGAGAATTTTACATACAGTTGTAGCTCATTACCAGATATGAATTACACCCGCTCACAATAATCTAGTTTAAGAAAAAAAAATAATAAATAAATAAATTATAGGAGAATTTAGGGTTTTCTTTCGCAGAAAATTGTATCTACATAATGAAGAAGAGGGAGAAGTATTGGTCAATAAGAGGAGAGAATCGATTAATGAAAAAAAAGTATTATAAGGGCAAACCAGTAATTTACCTCAAAAACCCGTATAAAACAGTGTTATCACCCAAACAAACCATGATATTGTTAGTGCAGGTATTATTAGTTTCTTCCTTATAACTCCAACCAAATAATGGATCACTCACTGTGAATCAACAATTTAGTCCCAGTATACCATATCCCATCCATAGCTATCTATCCAAACCACCCAACCAAAGATGCCCTAAAGACATGGGGATGGGTTTAATTGATAGACTATTTTTTTTTGTGGACCAAAATGAATTTAAGTCCCATGTGATGGGCCTTTTTGTCATTCGCCCTTATTTTTAATTAGTTTTACTTATTTATTGGAAGCCCCATTTTATCTTCAAATATATCCAAAAATATCCAACCAATCTACAATGGCTTAATTTCACTTTATACTCTTGAAATGTAGCTTTTTGACACTTTGCACCCTCGAAACTAATTAATAGCAATTTTCACCATCGAAACACAATAAATAATGCATAATGCACCCCAAATGAATTTTCAAAGCTAGTAAAGGTAATTTAATAATTTTAATATTTTTTTAGGATGTCAAATCATTTGTTTTTATTCATCAATCATTTTGTAGTTATAATTGCAAAAAATAATAATACATCAAATCAACGTATTTTTAAATTAATACTTTTTATCGGAAAAAAAAAATATTTGGGTACGACAAGCTTTCCCCATTTACCAACCTGAAATATACGGTTGGGTCGATGAGTTACCAATTTAGCGAAAATATTATTATAAATATTTATACATTAATTAAAAATTAATTTTTAATTTTTTTCGATTTTTTTTCGAACTTTGTTTATTTTTATTTTATATTAATTAATTAAAAATTAATTTTGTTTAAAAATATTTTGTTTCCGATAAAAAGTATTAATTTTTAAATACGTTGATTTGATGTATTATTATTTTTGCAATTTATAACTACAAAATGATTGATAAATAAAAAAAATGATTTGACATTTGGCATATATCCGAAAAAAATACTACTGAAATATTAAATTAACTTTATTAGTTATGTGTGATTTATTGTATTTCGACGGTGTAAAGTACTATTAATAAACGTGCTATTTCCAGCCTCAAAATATCTTATTTTACATGTTTTACCCTTTTCTGTCTCCTTCACCCAAAATTTGTACAAAATCATAAACTATCCACCACCAAACTATATAATTAGAATATTCACAAAAATACTTCACCATTTTTCACTAGAATATTTACCACAAAATTTCATCATTTGCACCTTAAGTGAACGATACTTTCGTCAGAAAAAAAATACCCGAATGTCAAAAAGAGTAGAAGTAAACGTTCTCGAAAAAATTAATTAAGAACGCTTGTGTAGAAATAAATTGTAAAAAAAATTCAGAGATTTTTGATATCGTTATTTTCGGTGGATTAAAAAAGACAATAACTGAGGGTGATGATAATATAATGAACTCATTGCTCGTGCCTTGAAGAGCATTCTTGACATCATGAAGGATTTGGGTACATGGATCTTTAAGATACTTCTGTTAATGTGTATGAATGCTAGGAAATAGTGAAAACAATAATATTGTAATATTGCTGATAGTTCATGGATATTTTTTGTACTTATGATTGAACTTTTTGTGTGAATGATGGAGAAATAAATATATTTTGTAATAAATTTCTATTCTAATAGAATAATTTTATTCTCTATGCGTATTATTTTATTTATGATTTATATTATTAGTATTTATTAATTTTAAATCAGATGAGAATAAAAAAAATTATAATATTAATATTTTCATATTCTTTTAAAATTTCTAACGGCTCCGTTAGAAATTTAGCTACAAATGTTACAGTAGGAACCGTTGGAATACTAAATATTTCGTTGGTAAAAAAAGAAAAAAAAACATCTTAAAAAAAAGGAGGATTAAACAAATATAAGGGAGGGTGGTGGATAAAAAATTGAAGGATATTTATGATATTTTATATTAATTTGATCGTAAATTGAGATAATTTGGGGTGGATACAACACCACTCCCTATTAATTGGTTTCGAGGATACAAAGTGCCAAAATGCTATATTTCAATAGTGCAAAAGGGGATTAAATACTCAATTGTTGTGAAAATTTGAAAATCTAAATTTACCACTCCATTCTCATTTTAATAGTTATTTTAGATTGTTGCGCACCAATTAAAAAAATTAACAAATTAAATATGTATGTTGACAACAAAAGACAAAACAAATCACTAAAATACCTTTGGCAGTGGCACTAATTGCTTCTCGACTAATTATCTTCCAATTAATGAAAAATAATAAAGGTCAAAATTGAAAAACATTATGCTTTATTAAAATTCTAAAATGATAAATAATTTCAAACGAAGAAAATTATCCAAATAAGAAAATTAAGTGTCTAACTCCCCAATGATGCATAACATTTGGTGTAATTATAATTTTTTTCTTTTTTTGAGTAAGGTGTAATTATAATCTTAAAATCCCTTAAAACCAGCCCCTCTCCCCTCTCTCTCTCTCTCTCTCACACAAAACGAGCTCGACCTACAGAACATTAATTGGCAAAGGATTTCGAACTTGTGTATAATGACACCACACTATCGTACTTCGCAAAACCTTTTGACAAATGAAACGATTGGTGATTGCGAATAAAAGTCGAAGTACTAGCTTGCTAATTTATAAAAGTTGAAGTGTTTGAAAGTGTCACTAAAAAAAAAATTATAAGTTGATGTGTTCGCGAAATAAACTTTAATTTTCAGCTTGTTTCGATAAATTGTCCATATGCCCTTAAAATTGGATCTAAATTTAAAGAGAAAAAAAAAAGGAATAGCTAAATAATAATAGCAAAAGCAACCTGCACATCAAAATGCAATGCAATTCAGTTTTCCAAGTAGTTTAATTAACAAAAAAGCCAAGAGTGGGAATTACACAAATTGCAAGATGGAGTACATGGTCTAAGGCCGTACCAAAAGACTAGAAAACAAAAAAAAAAAAAGAAAATTACGCAAAATTAGAAGCCGATGGAACCTTCTAGAATCGACGATCCACCGGTGGGAAATGCGTGGAAGAATAACGCGATGACGAGAGTGATGATAGGTACAGCTGTGAGTTGAGGCTTGTGCCGAAACCCGTCACCAGTTGAGGTGGACGATGGTGTCGCCGGAGTGGCCACGGGGGTGGTGGCGGTGGTGGAGGAGTTGTTGGTGAAGATGGCGGCATCGGAGGAGTTTGGTGGTAAGTGTAGCAGCTCTGCTCATTAAATAAAATTAATTTCATTAAATTAAAAACACAAATGTAAGGGAATTAATGAACTAATTTACGGAGCTCTCGAAATTATGAAGTAGATTTCTAAAGCTAGCCGAACACGAATCGAACTAGAGTAGTAGTTTTATTTTTATTATATACTACCGAATGCACTGGTAGCATTGAAAAAAGGAAGACAAACTAAATATAGATAATTGAATTGTATAAAAAAATATATTACACTATATTAAAATAATTAGTTGTCTAATTTAAATTGCCAAAATAACATTAAAAAATTAAATAAATTAAGTAGGGCAAAACAATTAAAGAAAACTCCATATTGATGTGTGTAAACTAGAGATATTTTGCTTTACTCTTCCGATAATTAAAAAAAAAAAATTCCACATCAGAGTGTGTAAAAAAAAAAGATATTGATTTCCAAAGAGATTACTAAAAGAAAGAAGAAAAAAAACTATCCGACGGGATTATGATTTTGCTAGGCAGTTTGCAAATCCAAATTTACTATGAAAGTCGAAAAATGCTGGAAATTAAAATCGGAAATGAAAAAATAATAATAATAATTAATTTTCAAAATTCACAGATATATCATTAGGGGTTTTGTAGGTTGCGGCAGTGTTTCTTTCTTGTATATATAAACATTTTATAAAAAAAATAAAAAAAAATAAAAATCTAAGTGGAACTCGAGCTCAATTAACTAATTTAATTTAATTTGATTTTAAGCCCATGATTCTGCATTAAAATTATCAGACATACAGAATAATTATATTAAATAATACCCCCTCCAAATAGCCCAACCATCACACACATGCAATGTACATTTGTTTCGTTAGGTAAAAAATGCAGAAGTAACCACACACACACACACAGCAGACACGTCACCATCAGTATTATGCATGCAAACACACACACTAGTACACCAAGATAAACACACAGTGAAAGAAGAAGAAGAAGAAGAAGAAGAAGAAGTTACTGGGGCACTCGGCGACGCTGGCATTAGCGAGCTTGCAGGAAGAGGGGAGCTGGAGCAGCCGCGACTCCTGGACGCCCATGCTCTTCACGGCGGCGTTGGTGCCGTTGTGGATCTGCTGTATTATGTAGCACAAACAAGCCGGGTCGCTTTCCTTCAGATCCTCCACCGAGCTGCAGCAGTCCTTGCTCGGCGCCGCCGCCTTCGCCGTCACGAACGGCAGGCACGGCGTCACCTTCGTGAACTCCGACGAACACTTCACCGCCAGCGAATCCTCCGCCGCCGCAGCCGCCACCGCAAAACAGAGGAGTAGCGCCACAGCAATTTTCTTCTCCATTAAGAAAAAAGAAAAAAGAAAATAAAATAAAATAAAAAGTGTGTAGTAAAAGATTTCAAAAGATGGGATATATTTAGAAAAATTAAGTTGGGGGGTGGTGGTGGCCGGTGGGGGGGTTGAGGAGAATTAATGACGGAAGAAAAAGTAGGTAGTTGGGAGAATTGATAGTAGTGAAGGGCATTTAAGAGAGAGAGAATGTAGAGAGAGAAAATGGATGTAATAATTGTATAGTAGTTGTATTAATGAGGACATGACTTAGGTGTAGGAATTATAATTTGATCGGGGTTTTTTTTGACAACGCGGTGCCATTTTCGCCACGCGTACGCATATGACGACAGCAGAAGATTCAGTATATTGAAATTGACGTCTCTTTGGACTAAAACTGGGAAGAATTGATTGTGTCAGTGTGTATACTGTGTAGTTAGGTTTGCTGCTTTAATTGGGCTTAAATAAATTAAACTTAATTTACACACTCCTAAAATATACACTATACTACTATAGCATGTGTAACACTTGATTACTTTATAAACTATTTGTGCTAACAGTATAATGCTTGCATTATGTATTCCTCAAGTATCATATATATATATATATATATATATATATATATATATATATATATATATATATATATATATATATATATATATAGATATATATATATATATATATCACTTATATTTGAAAGACGACAGTATTGTTGGTAAAGATCACATAGACATAATTTAATCAAGGAAAAATAATCTTCTTATTAAATAATGAAAATAAAAAGGGCAAAAAAAAAAAAAAAAAAAAAAAACACAAATAATACAAAACTAGAAAAAATAATGAACCACGGCCAATAACACAGATTCGTTGGAAGATGAAACCCTGGTGGCGAATGCTCAGTTGAAGGCTTGATGGTTCGATTTTCCAAGATATATCCTTGTTCTCTCGCAGGCAACGTCCAAGATCAGTTTTGGCAGCCACAACACTCAACGAACCACCACACAGAGTGTACATCGATCTCGAGATTACAGCCCGAACCGAAACCCTAAATGAAAATCGCCAATATCAAAGATTTTTCCCACAAGGAAGTTTCGGATTCACATAAAAAAAATGAGCTTTTCTTGTAACAAAAGGGGCTCTCTTATATATTATTATCAAATATTATATATACTATATAGTTTGTTTTAAGAGTACTTGAATTAAAACATCGAGTACACATTTTTAAAAATGTTATTGATGCAGGTACCTACCGATTTGCAAGACCACTTGGAGGTTATTTGGATTTGATATTCACTACTATAAAGATCCAATTGGAGCTTTCATTTGCCCGATTGCCAAATAATTGTGTACAATGATACTCAACTGTTGCATATGTGCTGGACATACTGTCTGTTAAACAAACAATGTTCTTAGCTTGATTTAGGATTTAGGGTTTGGCCTATAGTCTCGAGTTATACAGTGTGTGTGTGGTGCTTCGTTGAGTGTTTGAGGCTCCCAAAACTGATCTTGGACGTGGACTGCGAGGACAACGGTGACTGAGCCAGGAAAATCGAACTATTGTCGGAGCTGTCGCCGTCGGAATTTCATCTTTCCACGAATCTGTGTGATTCGTTGCGAGCTTTTTCTCTAGTTTTGTGCTATTTTCTGTTATTTGTTTTCTCCCCCTTCTATTTTCTGTATTTAATTAGAAGATTATTTTTCGTTGATTAAATTATGGATGCATTCTTTTGTTAATTACTCTGAACGGATACCCAACCATGGTATCATAGATTTGTTAGGATTCGTTCGGAGCAGCGTACGAAACCCTAGTGCAGAGGTTTCGCTCATGTATAACTTTTTCCCCTCTCCTTAATTATTGTATCTATTGTGATTGGTGTTGGATTGAGAATTGGTGTGTTGATTGAATCTTCATGATAATTATACTTGTGTTATTGGTGACTTTTTGTGATTCTTTCATTAATATTCTGCTATCTTAGTGATATTTGAAATTTTGAATATTTATGATTGTTTGAAAATTGGAATCTGTTTTGATTCAATTTTACTCAAAAAAAAACTAAAAATAAAAGAAATACACATGTTTGTTGATTCAATTTTACTCAAAAAAGCTAAAAATAAAAGAAATTCAAATCTTTATGACTCTACTTCGTGTTGATCCTACTTAAAATTTGATAATCTTTGTAATTCTTGAAAATTTGGATACATTTCTGTGTTTTCTTTGGCTCATTTCGATGAAAATATCGATTTTTCAATTTGGCAACATAAAGTAAAAAGTATGTTAATTAAAAAAAAAAAAAAAAAAAAATTAAAAACAACCTTTCAACTTGATAATGGGCCGATTAGCTCGTTAAGTTGCAGTATTATTATCTAGGCCCTAAGTACTAACTAATTATGATAATCAATTTGACCTAACATTGAAATGGCCCATCGAGTGAATTAATTGGGCCTAATTTAGTAGGATCCATTAATATTGATCGAAGTGACAAAAAAATCATTCAACTCTATGATGTGGATTAAGTACGGTAACTAAACATTTGGCTTCATATCGTTTACAAACAGTCTATTGTGGCATTGAAAGATTCCATACTGTTATCCTACCAAAAATTGCGGTATGCCAACGTTCGATATATTGTTATTTTGGTATTGTATAGTTATCGGTTCGTGGTACTCTGCCGTACCTGATTATGCCTTGCTGATCAGAAAAAAAATGACACATAAAAGTACTTAATCTCAATTCTAAATAGTTCTAATTGCTCTTATATTTTATTTTCTTTGGAGATGTGAGTATATAAATAAGAATAATTCACATAAAGAACAAATAAAAATAGAGTTAAAAAATTTGATAAAATTTGTTTTCGCTAACAAAATAAAAATAAAAATAAAAATAAAACTGTTTTGCAATCAATGATACGAAAACAAAATTACAATTTAATAGAACATGTCAAAGTAAAAAAAAAAAAAAAAAAAAAAAAAAAGCCAAACTATGGCCATCCTTGAGGTATGGTCAAATTACGAAAAAATTCCTTTTTTGTTTGGGTAATTACAACCACCCCTCTTTTTAAATATTTTTATATAAAATTAAGGTAAATTACACCCACACCTCTGACACATGCTAAAATAACTTTAAGGTCCCTGTGGTATCGATAATTACACTCACCCCTCTGAAACATAGTTAGAAACTTTAATAGGATAATACATTGGATACGTTATTCCGATAGAGTTCTAACGGATTATTATCTTTAGCTAGTAGTGGAGACAACAAAGAGCTATGGGTGATTTAAGAAATGTTTGGGGAGCCATGTCACCTCCTCACTCTATGTTTCTCTACCCCTAGCTAAAAGTAATAGTTCGTTAGAACTCTATCGAAATAACGTATCCAATGCATCATCCCATTAGAGTTTCTAACTATGTTTTAGGGGTGTGAGTGTAATTATCGATATCACAGTGATCTTAAAGTTATTTTAGCATAGCTCACCGGTGTGGGTGTAATTTACCCTAAAATCTATGTAATTCGGTTATTTACCGAACCAAATCGTATATTCAGTTCGGTAAACGGTATGAAATGTTGGCGTACCAAAATTTCTGTTCGATTTTACCGATTTAACAACCCTAAATTTAAGTTTGGAGGGATTTTTTCATAGGATAATACATAGTCGAAACAGGTGAATGTAATTACTTAAACATGAGGGAAGTTTTCATAATTTAACCATAACTCAAGAGGGTGACAATAATTTGCCCAAAAAAAACTACATAATCTATAATTTATCGTGGATTGGAAATACAATACCCCTGCGGTATTACATTGTACTTTAATTTGTAATGGTACAATACTAAGACCGTACATAAAACAATAGTAACCGGTCTTTCGATAATTTTTTGATAACTTTCTATGGGCGTTGGACATGGTCATTGGTAAAGGAAAAAAAGAAAAAAAAAAAAAAAAAAAAACCAATCCTACAAGCAAAGAAATATATATATACTCCAATCGAAAATTACCAATTATTTGTAGGATTGATTTTTTAAATTTTATATATATATATTAAATAAAAAAAATTGGTATAAAAAAATATGTTCTAGTTGAGAAGAGAGAAAATATTGATAATGGTGCACGATTCAATGGCATCCCATCTTATTTGTTTATATCAAATTGCCAATGCAATCAGTAAAAAACAAAATAAATAAATAAATAAATAAGTAACACCTCGATCTGCTTAATAATTTAACATTATTAACTTTTTGATGTATTAGAAAATATTTGTTTTGTACTCTAAAATAAATAAATAAATTGTGAGTTGGTATGACTGCAAATATTCAACGATAAGAATAAGAATCACAGCACATGCATGCTTATAAATATTTGAAATTAAATTAAACTAGAAACACAAAAAAATATTAAAAATACATGGAAGAAGACTCTTAGGCCTTGTTTGGTTGGAAAAAATACTCATTATTAATTAATTGTATTTCGGTTAGTGTTTGGTATCCCTAATAACTTTAGTCGGTCGATCCGTAAATATTATATTATCATGCCTTATTTTACCTTTTAAGACTGTCGACATCTGAGGAATAATTGAGTTTTTATTATATTATTTAATCTTATCTTGACTAATTTTATCACGGCGACCAAACGAGGCCTTGGAATAATTGTATTTTCTTTTGACTCACCTTCCCCAGTGGTGAAAGATTCTGCCCAGTTAGAGAGAGACAAAGCCCTTAATTGTCCAATAATGACATCATTACTGAATCCCAAAATCGATATTATAAATTAGGTTTAGACATGTTGTCTCCACTTATGTGTTAATTTATTTAACAAATTTTGTACGCGTGCCTCATTATTTAGGTCAAAATCAAACGGATGAGATTGAAATTAATAATTTAGAAAGGAGAAAGGAATTTTTTTTTTTTTTTTCTAAAAAAATTGAAAAAATTATAATTTTGAAATAAAAATTTGTGTTCAGAAACTGGGTTTTTTTTGGGATTAGAATCAGCGGGAAATCGGAAATTTTAATTTTTTTTTAATCATTTATAATATAAAATACACAATTATGACTTTG